GGTGGTAGATGGCGACAACAGGCAATTCAGAACCGAAATAGTCATGAATGTCTACGATGACGGGGTCTACATGAAGTCCGGTGCTCCAATCGACAGGTTAACACGAGTTAAGAAAACGCCGCGCCTATCGCCGCGCGCGGCGGAGCGGCAAATTACGATTCTCTTGCTCCGTCCAGTCGCCACACGCAGAAGGCAGCGCAGGCGACATGAACCACGCGCACTGCTAGGATTTATAGACGCAGCCATCGCAGCCGCTTCATACAAGAATTGCGTTACCAATGTGCGCAGTATGGGTACGCGCCAACTATTCGCGAAGCATAAACGCGCTTTGATAGGCGCATCAAAGTTCATGTTCGCTTCTCTTATGCACAAGTTATCAATATCTTTGCCGGGACCGACAACTGTTCATGCCTAGCGAAGTCCATAGACACTCCCCCTCGAACGTCGAGATACGGCTGTACTCCAGAGTGCGAGGCAGGCTATTCAAAGTAGAGTAAAAGCTCGATGAAAGGGACTGAAAGGACTAAAAGTAATCAACTCCGTACATCCTGGATGAATGAAGCTCTTATGCGCTATGCGCTAACGAACAATGATGAAAGAACGAAGATTAGGGTAAAACAGAGCATTGCGACCAGATCTCTCGTGAGAGCTTTCACAGTAAGTATCACGTTTGTTGGCAAATTGACAGAAAACAAACACGCATTTCAGGCAAATCGGCAAATCACTAGATGACTACACATGAAAAACAACTGTGAGTGCGTGGATGGAGTCTGAGCCACATCGCACTCCCTAGTGGTGGCAAAGCGTGTCGTATGTTGGGGATCCCAGCAAGAGGAGGGTCGTATTTAGTCGATAAAGGGGGGGGGGAAGGGAGTCGTATTTACCTTTGCGAAAAACTGGACCGGAAAATTTCCGGAAGGAAAAGTGGGAGGAAGTTGGGAAAATTCAGTAAGATGCTGGGTAGGATGGAGTTGGATGAGAGGTGTTGTACCAGAGTAGAGAGTTTTAGGGGGGGGGGTATTTTGCAAAAATTATCCCCAACGGCGTAACTTGCTCTGACAGGTGAGGACCCACTCTTCACATAGGAGGGACACCAATGGAGACTGCGCAGTGGTCTCAGAGTTTCAGGCAAGCGATCGGACCATTTCAAATGTAATTCCCACGCTGGTCGTTGGTAGACCCAGACCCGCGGTCGTTGGTAGACCCAGACCCGCGGTTGTGTTCTTTAGCCCTTCCATTTGACCTTTTTGGAAGCATAATGCACACCAATAAGCAATTCACAATTGTGGGACCGACTCCGCCCACAGAACTAACAAGGAATATGCCCTTGAATCGCCGGACAACTATAAGTGAACGGCAACTGGCCACGTCAACTCCACACTTGGCCAGGCGTCACTGAGTAACCAACACACCTCAGAAGTGCTCACAAAGAATAGCGCAGTCGTTACCAGTGGAGGGTGATGGTCGGTCGCTCCATCTAACAAGGGCAATCGCCAAGATCTTCACCACCCTCGGTAGAGTTCTGGCCTCGTTAGTGGTCCGAGCAGCGCCAAGAAACCACACATTCCAGCGGCGTATGTCGTCCATAGCAGAATGCGCTGCCATCGTTTAGGGAACGTACCTTAACATAAACTATTAGTAAATTATGAATCTTCAAAAAAAAAACCCTAACACTCAACTGTTGCCCATCGGACAACGACAGTCATTCTCAATCGAGGGACCTACTATGTCGAGGTTTTGGAAATTTCTGAACACACCAGTCGGACGCCCGGCTTCGCTGGTGCGATCCTCCTTCGCGTTTTGAAGTGGGTATGGTAGGGTGCACCAACCATCTGTCATGCACCCTACTGGCGTCTCTTCCTGACTTCCTTTGCCAACCCGATGCTCAGATCCACACTCCTCAATTCATGGGCCGCACCATTTTTTTGGGAAAAGAACTACGAATTTTGGAAATTTTTGTGGTAAGTGCCCGCTCATTTGTGGTACGCCCCGCCCACTATGGGTGCGTCTTCCTCATTTCGTAGCCAACTGATTGCCTATCGTCTCCTACTTATTCCGCTTTCCCCGCTTCCCTGGAACCGAAATACGAACTTTCGAGATAAGAGGCTAGTGGCTAAGGATAAACCCCGCCCACAGTGGGCGGACCTACCCATCCAACCCTTAACCATGCCCCTTAAACTGGCTCTTCGGGTAACGCCGAATTTCCGATTAGACGCACAGATACATACACAGACAACTTCTAGTTATATATAGAGGATACTGTACAAAACTTCCTCTCCAACACATCCTACACGTAAGGATGTCAGTAGTTTGGAATTGTTGCAGGATCTTGAAATGCTATTCCAAAAATTGAAATGCTAGATCCCAAAAAAATGAAACGAAAATAAGGACACGCGAAGAAAAAGGAAAAAGTTATATGAAAAGCCCTGTGCTCCGTTAACCAGAAGATCTACGAAACAGCTATTAGACAATAAAAAGCAGTTCAGAGCGTCACGCTAACTGCGCATTCCGCGCTGATATGGGCGAACACATTGGCGGTAGTCACGAAACGAAACGCGCCTCCAAAGGCTGGCTTCACCTAAAAGATGGGGTCGCTCTGCGCAGCAACTGCTTACAGGGGGGGGGCAAAAAAAGTCACTTCGACCGAGTCACATATCAGCAAAGTTTTCGCTGCCCAGACAGAGGACGTGGATACGAGTACCAGGGCGGAAGATACCCAAGATGTTCCTCTATAAGCAGGAGCTGGCTCTCGCCCATCACCTTCATGTACACCAAAATATGAAGTCATCTCCAGTCGCAGCCTGACTGGAGAAGACCTTTGGAATTCATGTCACCTCCAAACAGCTGCGAAACTTCTAGTGTGGAGTCACCCATGGATAGCTACCTGGAGACCAGTACTCTCGATCTGGATGACCTCCAACATCGAGCAGCTCCGACAACGTCGCCACGGTCTAGGACATCATCTTCACCGCAGTCGCCAAGGCGCGGGTTGATGGTATGGACCGGACGTACCTGGAATGGAAAGACCAATATTTTCTTCGTGGACCCCGGACTGAAGGTGAGCGCTGGCGGTTACATCGAGCAACTCGAGAAGAATATCCTCCTCACATGTCGTCGCCCGTACCTTCTTGGAAACTTTGTACTGCTACAGCATTGGGTGCCACCACATGGAATCGAAGGGCATTGGAGAAACTCTCGCCTACTTGGAATGGAAGGGGGCTGAATACCTAAAGAAGGTGGAATATCCAAGTAGGTCACCTGACCTGAATCCCCTCAATTACCCGGTTCGGGCGGAGTTCAATAGGGTGGTCTACGGTGGCGGAGAAATCGATCACGCTAGACCACCCTATTGAAGAAATCGACTATCTCGCTGATCTCAGGCACCACATCGCGGTCGCGTGCCAGAATCTCTCGATGGCGCTCGTCCAGAAGGCTGTGGCGGAGTGTCATGATAGTATTTGATATGCTCTTTAATATGGTGGTAAAAATGTCCGATCAGAATTCAATAAAGTGTAACTTATAGCGCCTCGAAAGTCAATGAAGAAAAGTTTACTCCCCCCCCCCCCCCCCCTGTATGTCCACTCGCACGGCAACAGAACTGCAGGGAGTCCTAACTGCGGACGTTCTCGAGCGTTTTTCCTGTTGTATAGTCCACAGCCGTGTCGCTTTGCATCTTGCGGTTCATAAAATGAGCGCTACCGGCCACCTAGCCATCGTTCACAGCGCTTTTATGTGTCGAAGCTTGGAAGAGCTCTTTCAGTTTAGGAGTGATCTAACTATAGAAGAGAGCCTTAGCCCGAGGCACTGGAATTTCTGATGGGAAAAGATGTATAAAGAGGAAAAAAGAGAAAAAAGAATGCAAAAACTAGGGTTAACAAAGCTCACCGATCTCATTGAATAGCGGTAATCCCAAGCAGTTGCACACTGCATGTGTCACAATTGGGGCGAAAGCATGGCCACTTCTCAAGAACAAGTAGGTAGCATACGCTCCAAATAGATATGTGTACGCAAGTTGAAAGACTAAAATTAAGAGATTGCAAGAACACACACAACAGAAAGTCAAATAATATGTGAAATACAGCGTTAAACTGGTATTACAGTCTTGTTGGCTGCGGGTGATGGGACCAGGACACATCATTAGTGGGAGATTTTGGTCAAGTCCGTACGACCCTCCCCCTTCTTTCTAGGGGATTTGTAAACTCCCCCTGGTTCCATCCTCATCGAGCTGTGGCGGGGGAGGGGATAAATAGCACATGTGAAATGTGAATAATCGCGAGGAAAGCAGGACCCCCACCATTTCTTAGATTTTTCCCAACTTCCTAACACTTTCTCCGGAATTTCCCGAAATTTTTTTCCTTTTTTCCCAAACCCCAAACATTTTGCTGTCAAGCGAGGGCGAGGGGAGGAGGGTGGGGTGTGGGAAAGGGGTATATATGCTAGCCACATATGAAACAGAAAAAAAAAACTCGAAAAGTTAGGCAGCCTTCTTCAGAAGGGAAATACGACTTCCCCTCCAATCATCAAGAACGAACAAATGCGACCCATCCCTTTATAACGTCCATGAAACAAGAAAAACCAATTATCAAAATAAATTTTTCTCAGCCCATATACGACTTCCCTTCTCACCAACCAAATACGATACCCCCTCCCTCTTGTGAATGGGACGTGCCAGTGTGGCTGCGTTTGGCGCGGGGTCAACTTGTTTTTTTTTTGCGAAGGCGATAAGACTGTGTTACATCGTTCGTATCGGTCGTTTTCCGCCAGCTGTTGTCACTTACCTTCTTCGGCAACTGGTGGAGAGCGGACTGGCAGTGCGCCAAACGCAGCCGCGCTGACACGCCCTATCATCCGCAGCGAACAAGACTGTGCAATTGGTGAAGAACGTGGTAGCGCTCGAGATGCGCCGAAAATGAATGTAATGTTTGCGACCTGAGCACCTTAAACCCCTGCAGGCTCCATGGAGTGGTTAAGTGAAAAATGCTTGGACACCATGGAGGTTGAAATGGTTAAATAGCGCCTTAATATTGACGTTGATCACAACAGTAAGGGAAGTTCACCTCTTCTGGCAATCGCTTGTGATTGTGTAAAGCCACGACGTCGATCATCACCGATGTGGTGAAGGTGACTGCATGCGAACGGCAACGGACCAACAAAAATCGCTACAGTCGGCGATACACATTCCTTTAGCAATGTGACACAACAGCATCGAAACGTGATTTCCTCGGTCACTGGTCCCTGAAGCTATTCTGGTTACGGTATGAATGGGAACCGACTACATAGTACATTTCAAATTGATTGATTCCAAACATATGTTGTTAAAGGCACGGCCCGCGATCAGGTATGGAAGCTGAAAATATGTGTCGGGAGGGTAGTGTGGTCCGCGACGAACAACCTTGTACCGGTTTCGCGGCAAAAAATTGTAAGGGAGGGGCGCTATAGCGCAATATAGGTTCAGTGACACCTCCTTTTTCGGTGTCCACCTCCAAACCAGGGCACGCCATCGTTGTGAGAATCACAACGGGGGTCGTATTTGACCGCGAGGGAGGGGGTCGTATTTGGTCTGAAAAAAATTTTTTGATAGTTGATTTCTCTTGTTTCACGGACGCTATAAAGGGGGAGGGGTCGTATTTTCTCGTTGGGGGGGGGTGTATTTGTCTTTGAGAGGAATTTGTGGCCTTGGGAAAAAACCGGTTGTTTTGGCCTTTCGCGGTTTTTCCCGTTTCACTGATGTTATAACATAAGCCCCCCCTAGTTGGCGGCACTGCCAAAAATTTATTCATCTATTGCTTCCGATATCTGAAAATATGTAGTAGTTAGTTCCTGACGACCTCCTCCTCCCTCTCCCGCTCGACAGCAAAATTTTGGGAAAAACTAGAAATTTTTCGGGAAATGCCGGAAAAACTGGAAAAAGTGGTAGGAAGTTGGGAAAATCTAGGAAAGTGGTAGGTAGGATGGGGAGGGGGGAGGGAGGGTCGTATCAGAGGATGGAATTAGGGGGGGGGGGTCGTGTTTTCAGGAATTTATCACAACGCGATGGCTTGCCCTGCTTCAGACTCCACCTTCAAGGCCCGCCTTTCAGTGAAAAATGAAGCTGCTGGACGAAAAAGCATGAGAGTCGTCACCTATAGGTTTGTAGTTCTTGTCGAGGAATCAGCTGTGCGGATGGGGGCGTAGAATCGGAGATGGAGTTATAGAGCACGTACAAACTGAGATCGAAATGGGGTCTTATCTAGGGCAGTTGGCATGTTTTTTTCTGCTTTTTTCTTCACTATCGAGTTACTCGGAACTTGTCGTCTATATGCGAACCACCTAATCCACTATCCGTGACAGCGAATGATCGCGGGCTTCGCCTTTACATAGCTCATGGCGGACCAGTCTCATTGTCAGTCCACCAAGAAACAAGCCTTACCACTGGAAAGGAAATCTTTAACTTTTTTCTGAATTTTTCTCCAGTTAAGACCAGAATTAACCGCTTACTTCGAGTTCAAATGTAAGTCATGTTGCACACAAAAAATTTCCGAATTCATGGGGGAAGCTCCCTACCAGTTTTCCACAGCAGTTGTAGTCTACTATGGAGTGTACCGACACTTTTAAAGCGCTTTCATTATTCATTTTACTTTTACGAACATTCAGGCCTTTGACCTTCAGTCAGAAACACCCGCCTACTTCTTTTGATTCTCCTGGTGTCCGTTCACCTTGGCCATCCGAGCACCTTTACAGATGCTCTTCTCTTTTGTCCCCCCTCTACAATCTGCTTGCAAATAACAGTTGTAACCGCAGACTACAGGCAAATTGGGCCACTTACAACGCCGCTTTCCCTGCCGCCGCAGCATGAATTTTCATGGACTTTGGACTAGCTGCATTCTTTGATCCTCGCGACAGTAAAAGAACTGGTTCCCCCGAAGAAAAAACCACTAATACTGATGAGGACAGTCCTTGGTGCCTACCCCTTCATCCTTTCACCAGCCTGTCATACCGTCAATAAGCCGGCACAGACAAAAGCGAACCATAAGGCTGATTGGAAAAAAATTGAAAATTAACTAAAAACCTCCACAAATGGAAATGTCAACGAACCACTATGACGTCTCGTATCCATGTGTGCTGCTGAAACGACGCTTTCCATTCAGTCAGAGCTAAAATGACACAAAAATAACTTGCGCTGTGGAGTGCGAGTGCGTCAGTAAAATAGCGGGTTTTTTCAGACTAGCTTCATAACTAAACTTATTTACAGGCGCATAAAATGTTGTCGAACAAGCTGTGAAGATAGTTCATAATTTATCACAACGAATAACGCACCTGCAGATCTGGACACTCAGGCGTGGTTTACAGCAGTCTCCACGTAAACCCGCGATGGCGCGATTCTTAAACCGATGATGACGGCCCCGTTTGCACCAGGCGGCGAATTATCTACGTCTACAATAGTTTGCCCGGGCGTGTCCATCGAGTAAGTCGTTCTGATAGTAAGCTGTTCTAGCATGGATGCTTCCAAGCATTCGACGGGGGTTCGTAGTTCCCCCCGAACGCCAACGTTTTTTGCCACGATGCTGTTCAGATAACTCCGAGCGAACGATACCGAATTGAACGCTCTGATTCATCGTTCAGTTTCGATTCAAGCACCCACATTTAGGCTTTTCCTAATACTCTATGAAATAACGGAATGCAACAATATTATGAGGGATTTCATCAACAGACGTATTAAGGGGGGTAAAAGACTAGAAAAGGGATACGCAGCTCGTGGATAATTACCAGGTATCCCAATTGTCATACAAGCGCTGGCGAATCTCGAGAAGCAATTACGTCTTAACTTACTCGAGACTGTAAACAGTAGGTACAGCGACGTATGCAAGGCGAACGCTCGAGTTAAAGATCATAGTTAGACCAAAACAGCTGCTGTATTCTGTTACGCTGTATCGACAGCAGCGATGGATTTCAACTGAAGTTCTGCCATTCTTATAGCTTCCTTTTTCGCTCTCTTTCCTCTTCCCGTTTACTGAAGGGAGGTGGTCAGTACCATTTCTCTTTACGCCCAGTGACTGTCCGCAGCTGCAGTCAATAGACGCTCGTGAAATCCTCAACTGCGACCGCACGCATTATTAGCGATCGCGTTCGCCGACAGCATATCCGTGCATATACGTAGTTGCGCCCTACAAATTTTGCGCTTGGACCCATCAAACGTGTATGAAAGGAGCGTCTTCGTGGAGTGAGAAAAGAGTGGTGACGTGTAGCATGGATCCTTCCAAAGCATTATTCGGGTTCGATTCCCCCCGAACGCATACTGTTTTGCAAAGCGCACAGGCACCTCTCCTCAAGAACGGCGGTATAAATGAGACATAGATAGGACGACATGCAGAAATAATGATTGGCAGGCGAGAAGCGTCGAGCCGATCTCGGAGTTCCTTCCAACATCGAGCGTTTGACCGCAACAGGTAGGATAGGAGCGTGTAAGGTGCCTTCCAAGCTTTCGACGGGGGTTCGATTCCGCCCCGAACCAACCCTTTTTGCAAATGTCGCAGAACTACATAGAATAGGACACAAGAACCTCGGGATAATCATCGTTCAGTTGGATTCAGCCCCAAAATTAGGCTTTTCCATCACTCTACGAAACAGTGAGCAGAAAGAGTTAGTATGCCGTAAATTTTAAGCCGAACTTTCCAACAGTCAGAGGTGGGTAGAGTAAATACGACTCCTCGAGTAACACGTATTTCGAGTTTGTCATAAGTAGACCAGCAGCTTGGTGCTAGCAGTGCTAAAACTGCGTTGCTGTATTCGGATAGTATTAGGTTGCTAATACCGTAATGGCCGTTTTTTTCTCAATCAAAAAAATCTGTTCGAAAATGAAGACCGTTTTTGCAAAGGCCAAGTTATATATCGTCTGATAGGAAACTTCTCGTAGTATAAGAATATCAAAAAAGCTTTGGTTGAGGATATAGTTTTTGTGAATTTTTTAGTCGTTGAAGTTGGAAGTGAAGTCGGCGAAAATTAGCATCTTCGACAACTGCCTCTATTTAGAAATTTCATGCTAATAGTTGAATTAATTGAATTCGAATTTGATATTCTAATACTACGAGAAGTTTGCTATTAAATGATATTAAGCTTGCTTGCAAAACGTTTTACTTTTGGAACAAATTTTTCAATTGAAAAAAACGGCCATTATTATTACCAGGCCCACTACGCAGTTTATTAGCCCAGCCCACTGCATGAAATTTCAGGTGGAACAGACGTGAGCCTGCCCAATATTGGCAAGGTGAAGGTTGCCCAACTTTGAAATTCTTGAAATTAGTTCCAAAGCGTCTTATTGAGATTTCCTTGCTGCTTCTACCTCAACCTTTCCGAATGTATGGAGCAGCTTAAGCGATTTTAGCACTTCGAGTAAACGTAAATAGAGGCAGTTGTCGAAGATGCTAATTTTCGCTCGGACCTTCACTTCAACTTCAACGCCCTAAAAAATTCACAGAAACTATGTTCCTCAACCAAAGCTTTTTTGATATTCTTATACTGCGAGAAGTTTCCTATCAGATGATATATAACTTGCTTGCAAAACGTTTCACTTTTCGAACAAATTTTTCAATTGAAAAAACGGCCATTACTTATTAGCCAACCTAATATATATGGAATCTCCAACGAAATTTCTGCATGTTCTAACATCCTCTCGTTTTGGCCCTCAATCTCCTCTACTGGATCCTCGTTTCCTATCTCCTTTAACTGCGGGTAGGGTGAAACGGTCAGTACGATTCTCGTTCACGACAGTGACTGCCGAGTTCGGTGTCAATCGACGCTATCCTTAATCCTCACGAACACCCGCACGAATTTCTCTACGCGGGATCACGGTTCGGACGCTTAATGTACGCCTACATGTTTCCCGCGTCCCATCACGTAAGCGTTCGTGGTGTAATGGTTAGCATGGATGCCTTCCAAGCATTCGACGGGGGTTCGATTCCCCCCGAACGCAACGTTTTTGCAGACGTCGAGAATGTCAGAATTAACTGCAACTCAACGTTAGATTCGATGTTTATCTGGTTCAAGTCCCATTTTCACTTTTCGTCAATCCTTTGGCGCAACTGGAGAGGTCTCCGCATTATTTGAAATAGATTTTCAATAGAATGGAGAGAAGAGCAGAAATGAGGTGAAAGCCCCCGTAGTATTACGCATATCTTATGAGGCATGTTCGTCATTTAAGAGTTATGGGTGTGCGATTTGTTCAGTTCTTTAGTGTTCTTCTACAGTTTCTCATCTCACACTTGGAGGCGAGACCTGTACTTTCTTATAAACTTACTATACTGTATTAGCTTCATAAGAGTTTACATTCCCTTACCGGAGGCAAGCTTCGCCAGTGCCGTTCCATAGCCTCACAAGACTTCACAGGTGCATCAAACACTGATAAAGTCACACCTGCTCGCCTTCCCCTGCTTAAACCTCCCCCTAACCGAATGCCTCGCTTAATTGGCTCGGACATAGGCTTTCCCTCGGGGCAGTTCGGGGGGGGGAGGGGGGGCGAAATTTGTATTTTCGCTTGCTCCCCCAGTTCCGTCCTTTTACAAGTTCACTCTCGGTGAAACCTTACTGGACTAGTCATGACCGTCTGTCGTCAAACCAGACCATGGTTAAAACCTAAGTCAATTCGCAGACCAGGCTGTCTACGGTGATCGACAGGTCTGATGAAAAGTACAAAAGTTGCAAAAAAGTGTCCCCCCCCCCCCCTCGGTCGCCGAAATGCGCCCAGCTTCTTGGTTCAGCTTACCACTGTATTGGCAAACCTCGTAACAAACGCGATGGAATCCGCAACCTTAAATTCTGCGTATGTTCAGGCTGCCCTTGTTGATTTAGGCCCCCTTGTCGTGCCATTTCCTCGGTCCGGAAGCAGTCGAGTTGCCGTCCGTCTTTATGAATCTGCACCCAGGTTTGCGATCAGCTGACTCCCGAAAAAATTCTCACGCAATCTGCGAGTGTTCCGTACAGATCGCGTCCGCACAGCCATCTTTCTCGCATCCAATGTTGCCGCCTCACATCACGTAAGCGTTCGTGGTGTAATGGTTAGCATGGATGCCTTCCAAGCATTCGACGGGGGTTCGATTCCCCCCGAACGCATGTTTTTGCAAATCTGTTCAATTCCTTGAAACAGAACAAAATTTAGTGGCGGTTGGTTGTTCATTCACTAGATTCAGGCTGAACCCAGTGTTTCTACATGCGGTGGTGCAACTGGTCACAAGAGGCATGTTTCAACATTCAATATTGAAGAGTAAGAAAGGGGGGCGAATAGGTCCAGAATTCTTGCACAGTAAAGGCAAAAATCGCCCAAATATGACCAGCGCAATCCCTGCATACTACAAGGTGTTGGATAATACTAATGAAATACCAGTACTATTTGGCCCATCTTATCTTCAACACTGTTCTCTTACAATTAGCTCTCCAATCCCCAAGCAGGGTACAGCATCGTGATGCGTGAAATGGTGGTGTCAGTACGACCCCCCCCCGCCCCAGACAACCGGGAAAAATTTTTTTCTCAACGCGGCAATTTTCTCTCAGAGGCACATACGACACCCTCCCCTCCCCAGGTGTCAGTACGACCCCCCCTCGCCAATATGAAGCGGGGGAGAGTGGGTTGAGGGGTAGCGGGTATCCGCGGCTGTGCAGGGGAAAACCGGGCGAAAAGTCAACCAACCGGGAAAAAATTTTTTCCCGAACGCCCTGTCAAATTCTCTCTCTGAACGGCACACACAACGACCCCCCGCTAACCTCCCAGCGGCTAAGTATGAAAACGGCAGTGCATGCCACAATCCCACGGATGGCCTCGCATGACCCTTCCGACGTTGAAGTAACTTATTGAGAGGGGAAGGCCCATGGCATTATGAGAATTCTCTCTCATTAATGTACACAGTTCTCAAGAAGTTTTAAACTCCGCATCCATTATCCTGGGACTCAAATATGGTCCACTCACTGGAAAACACTCAACATTACCGCCGTGCCCGCTCGGTTGACTCGCGCCCGTGCATCTCGTCTAGCAGGCGCTGCGTGGTTCATACCGTGAGCCGTGTCGGTGGTGTAATGGTTAGCATGGATTCCTTCCACAGCATTCGACGGGGGTTCGATCGCCCCGAACGCACGCCCCCGCCCCCCCAGATTTTTGCAATCACCCCCCCGAACGCAGATTTTTGCAATCATTCATTTTTCACGGGAATAGCATCAAACTGACCAGGCGAGGTCTAATATTGATTTTCCAGGTTTTTTATCCAATATAACCTCCGATGAATTTTTTCCGCAGCACAAAAAGCTTA